TTTATGAGACAAAAGAGGGTACAATAAAGAGAACACCTTTCCTTTCCCTTCCCATCCCCTCCCATCTTACTCCATGATCTGAGTTACTCTGAAGTACTCCAACTACTTAAAGTCTTTTCTCAGAATCCTTTTTCAGCCCATGTTCCTAAAGGAGGAGATGGTGGAACACAGCTACAATTTTAGATCACTAGTAGAGGACAAAGAGGTTATTCTCAGTACTCAATGTTGCTTATGCAAAAGAAGGGAGGATTTTTCTAAAACGTACAGTTCATTTGGCAAAAGAAAGATAAATAACCCCCCTTTTCTCTGTGAATTTGAACAAAAAGTGAGATGGCCACAAAGAACAGCAAGATTGTTGTTGCCAGAGAGACTTTGGTGTAGTATATAATTAAAGAGGTGATTACCTATGGATAGTGTGCTGAGAGCACCTGTGCCTGCAGGAAGTTTGGCACTCACACAAAATGGCAATGCTGGCATGCAATTAACAAGCTATTAGCAAGCATTCAGCCCTCATCTCTTTTTCAGCTAATTTCCTCCTCCTTTGTGTGAGAGGCTATGGACACTGTAGAAACTGTTTCGAGTACCTTCAGCTGCTTAGGTAAAGAAAGATTAGATGTAAACAGGATTTACAACTCCTTTCTTCCATTTTGCTTTCCTGGAAAATGTTACCACAGACAATAAGCAAATCAAGAAAATGTCTCTGTATGGTTGATGCAAAACGTATCTTGCAGTGTTTTGCACTTAAATTACACTACAGATTAACTGTAGCTATTTATTTCCTACAATCTGGAGATTTGGGGAAAATATTCAGGTTTAATAAGCATCATGCACTGACAAACCCAGGCAGTTCTAACCTGTATTAAAAGTTAAGGAATACTTTTTGATGCAGAGTGAAAGGCTCCAGCGCAGCTGTAAAATAGTAGTAGCTCCTGTATTTCTTTTTACAAAAGACTATGTGGCCTAGTAAAGGAGCAGAGAAAGGAACACATAAGGGTTCATGTTCTGTGATAAAGAGGTACCTGACATAAAACTGTGATGAGATTTGCACACTATTACAAATGCTTCTTATTTAACATGAAAGAATATAGACAACCTCGAACTGCAAAACTGGGGTCAGGCAAGGAAAAGCTCAGAAAAAGCTGAGGTCAGCAAAGGATGCTAAAAATAACAAACTTGACTTTAGGTGGGAGATTGAAGTGTTCTCCTTGTGTGGTCCTGAGAGCAGAAATCCAACCTGAACAATGATTAGTGTAGCAGGTTTTATAATTATAACAAAGATTTGTTTTCAAGAAATGCATTACAGGCAGTCTCTGTGTTAGGAAAGTCTGATTGAAAGACAACCTTTAGATATGAACAGGCTGCCTGTTACTAAAAATGGTGGACGGAGCTATCCTTCCTGGAGCCAAGGAAGCACTGAAGCCACACAATGCTTTTGGAAATGCTGAAGTCATGTGTTTTTAATGTACCTTCTGTTTTAGCAGTTTTCAGCATTTCCTGGAAGCATTGCAGTTCATTGGCTCAAGGAAGGACACCACCACCAAGCATTTTTAGTAATTGGCAGTCTGTTTGTAAGTACAAATTACAATTTAAATACAAATTCAAGTTAGGGAACAGAACTTATTCTTAACTTGGGGACCACCCTTACAAGAAAGCTCCTAGCTGACTATTTCCTACCAGAAAGAGAGTTGCCACAGCAGTGGGAAGGGATTGCTATTGTTGTCAGACAGAGAAAATCACAGCACAAAAGAACTGTTTGGTGAACCAGTTCAAATTCTTTATGGAAATTAGGAAACTGTCGGTCTCTGACAGCTATATACTTTCAAAATCTCTTTGTTGAACCTCTTGGAACATCTGAAGTTCACACTCTTTTTATTTAATTTTATTTAGTAATCAAATTTATATGGCTGCCCATCTCATGAAAAATGACTCTGGGTGATGTGCAACAATTTCTTTTTATTGTACAGCATAATGGAAATCTTGTAAAAGTGTTTTTGCATGTGAGAACTATTTGTTTACACCTGAATTGTGGTAAGATGTATTGGTTCACAATATTATCATGCACACTATTAGATATAGTGCCTATTGGCTTCTTTCTTTTCTGTATGTATCTCCATATATCTCCATATATATTGGCTTATTGCATTTGGTCTTATGTAGTCTATACAATTGGACTGATTCACATGTGGCTTCAACTGTATAGATAAGAACACTCCAATTTATAAACGGAATCAGAATTTGTGTGTTCCATTGTCTTCCTATACCATTTTTGTGGTTGCATTTTTTTTTCCTCCTCCGGCTTTATCTTCTATAAGATATTGATATATATCTTCTGTTATATATAAGATAGATATATAAGATATATCTTCTAATTCAAACAGACCATTTTTGTGAGTAATTCAATCTTCCCAGCTACATAACAAGAGTTGCCTTTCAATTTTATAACATATTCCTTTCAATGTGATATATTTTACTAAGAGCAAACTTGACATGAGATCTGGGACATATAAGGCATCTTTAATTATTGAATTAGTGTCTTTCCTTTCCCTTATAGATGAATCTTACAAGCTGCTTACAACTGAGGTGAACTCTCATCTCTTTACCAAATAAATGATAGATTTTATTCATTCCCTTCTATAAATCAATCTTTCCCTTTGATCTCCTTTTTCCAGGACAACTGGTTTGCAAATATCCAATATTGTCAATAGTGTATTAGCTTACTCCTCCCTATACTTTAAAGAAGTCACTTGACCAGGGCAAACAAAATAGGGACATGTAAGATCATTCATTGGTCTGTTTAACTTGATATGGACTTTCAACAGGAATCTTTTCAATTCTTGTCTACAGATATTGGTAATATAGTATACATATTTTTATGTAAATTTCTCCATTTTTACAAGGAATATGCATGTATGCTTACAATACCTCAGTGAAGCTGTTACTGGCAAGAAAAACCTAGTGAAAAAATATTCCCAGATACAAATAGCTGGAAAAGGCTAAATGACTGAACAGCAACAGGGATTCTGTTCCCCTTTGTTTTGTGAGGTTGGCATAGGTTCAAATCTACTTACTTGAATTGTTTTTAATTACAAAAGAGACTTGTGGGGGAACTGCAATGCAACATAATGAGATAAATTGGGATCAGGCCTCAAATGTATAGAAGACAGTGAGCCAATTCAAGATGAAAAACAAACAAAAAGAAGCTGTATTATCTGTCATCAGCTGTTACCTAAAAGCTGGAATTGCCATCCTTTTATTTGAAAGAGTTCCTGTCACATTCATCATATTCAGTAGCAAGTGATTGCGATATTGCTGAGGTAAATCAAGTGGTAGAAGGCTGATTACTGGCTGTAAAAGAGAGGGCAGGAAATTCTTCAGAATGAGCCATGGTGGTAAGAAAATAGATTAAGAGTACATGACACTCAAAAGATGGCTCTGAACTACACCTTGTGAATTTTCTGAAAGTACCCCCGACTGTTGAAGGAATATACCAGGTGAATCTTCAAGAAAAGCAAAGGAATATTTGCAAACCAGCAGGAACAGCATCAGTCACCTATTCCTTCTTTGACCAAAGGAATCTTGGCAAACAGTGACTGGGGGGGAGAGAGAAGAGAAATTAATTTAGCTTATTTATTAAAATTGGAATCTGTGGTATCTTATGCAATTTCATATTATGTTCCAAAAAAGCCAATGCAGTTCCAGGCTGCATCAAGAGAGTGGCAGCATCTAAATCACAAGTGATAATACTACTTTATATCATGAGGTCACACTTGGAATACTGCTGAACAGTTGAGGGAGCTACAGAAGGTTTTTTTGGGGGGGCATGATAATCGCTTTCCAGTACTTGAGGGGGTCTCACATAGAAGAGGGGATTGACTTATTTTACAAAGCACCAGAGGGCAGGACAAGAAACAATGGGTGGAAGATCATCAAAGAGAGATCCAACCTAAAGCTAAGTAGAAACTTCCTGAGAGCAAAAACAATCGATGGAATAGCTTGCCTCCTGGAGTTGAGGGTGTTCCATCCCTAGAGGTTTTCAAGAATAGACTGGACAGCCATTTGACTGGGATAGTAGAAGGTCTGCTTTGAGCAGCAAATTGGACTAGAACACCTCTGTGATCCCTTCCATCCCTGTATTCTATGTTCTGTGCTTTACCCCAGAATTCTACCATCACATTCATATTCTTCTTTTATTTAAAAAAAACCATGTTACTGACTGGGATATCATATATAATATGTCTAATATTATATTTTGCCATACATGATCAGGAAGCAAGTGTAGGCTATTGGTTAATATGTTGGATTGAGACCAGGGAGTCATAGAAGCTCTCTGAATGTTTGGGACCTGTCAAGCTCTTTCAATACAATTTACCTCAAAGGATGATTGCTCTGGACATAAAATCATGGGAAATTCCTCTGCAAGTTGCCTTGAATTCTTGAAGAATAGGCAAGAATATAGATCTATTTAAATCCTCAAAACAGATCAGGCTGTGCTAGAATACTTAGCAATTTAGAACATTAAAACAATTACAGCATCTACTGATTTTATTTTTTCACATGCTTCACCAATTTTCAAGATATTTTGGAATTAAGCCAGCCCATAGAGGAATAAAGTTCAAGAACATAACTTTTTTATTTCTGAAATATGTTGGAATCATCATCATCATGATTTATTCTGAGTTGCCATACCCAAGTTGCAAAATTCAAATTACCCATACAGCAAAGAATTAGAGTTTTCTGTAGTTCTTTGTTGTAAGATAACAGTCATCTCAATTCTTATCACCTGGATGGGGCAACCTTAATCTACTGGTGGCTAAAGATGATGTTGATCGTTGCTACCATATTGGCAGTACAAATCCATTTTGGGAAAACTGCTGGCATAGAGCTCCAAAGCAGAAGATAAAATGTTGGGTGCAAAGATGTTAATTGAAATTAGGATTTACAGAATAAAAAAAAATCTCATTCAGGAATGGAATTTCTTCATTGCTGGGAGATGGTTTCTTCTATGCTGCAGTGCTGCTATTCAACCATCTATAGTGGAACAGGCTTTTACAGTCCAGTTTTCCGGAATAGTAGAGAGCTTCAGTGAAGAGTTTTGCTACCTAAAACCATAAAATCCATGAGGAGTGCAAATGTTTAACAAAACAAAGTAATGAGAATTAGGCAAATTCTATCTAAGCATCATTTATACATTATTTTCAGCAGATTTTTCCATTAAAAGAATCCATTATATGGCTGATGCAAAAGATAATCCTTTCTGTGTTCAATTTACACAATAATCCTTATATCTGAGGACTGGGAGAGGGAGGGTGAAAGGAGGAAGGACTGATTTGCTGCATTTATTACAACTAATACATATGAAATGTTTAAATAAAGTCTCATTTGAGCTGAGCTGAATTCTTAGCAATTTCTATATAGTTCTTCCTAGCACAATATGGACGTAATTTTCCATCACTGTTTCCTGAGATGGTTATTCTCCCCCACCCATTCCCTCTCTAGCCTTCTCTCCTGGTATACCCTAATCCTACTACTAAATAGCGATAGCACTAAGACTTACTGTATATACCACTTCACAGTGCTTTACAGGCCTCTCTAAGCAGTTTACAGAGTTTACAGAGTCAGCATATTGCCCCCAATAATCTGGGCCCTCATTTTATCGAGGACTCTTGGAAGGATGGAAGGCTGACTCAACCTTGAGCCGGTGAGACTCAAACTGCCAAACTGCTGGCAGCCAGGAGTCAGCAGAAATAGCCTGCAGTACTGCATTCTAACCACTGTGCCACCATGGCTCTTAAAGTTCTAAGTTCAGATCCAGTGAGCCAGGGATGCCACTTGCTAAGAACTGAGAGACTTCATTTGGGTTAAATCAAGCAAACAAAAGGTACAGTCTCTTTTTCCCAAAGGTTCAAATTGAACACAAAATGGCATATATAATAAAATTTGTTGTTGTTGTTAACTGTGAAGTTGTGTCCGACCCATCGCGACCCCATGGACAACGTTCCTCCAGGTCTTCCTCTCCTCTACCATCTTCTGGAGTCCATTTAAGCTCACACCTACTGCTTCAGTGACTCCATCCAGCCACCTCATTCTCTGTCGTCCCCTTCTTCTATTGCCCTCAATCTTTCTTATAATAAAATAATTAAAGCAATTATTGAGAATTTTCTATATATCAATGATATCTTAATGTCAACCTTGCTAGATAGTCTAGACAGGAAACCCACCCAATTGAACTAATTCTACCTTATTCTGAAGTTACATCAATAGAATCCTGAAAGTCTGAAAATATATTTCTCCCCCTGTTGCCTTTATATCTCAAGAAACTAGGGAGATGTTTGCCATGTCCATATTCCTTTTCTGGGCTAATCTGTCTCTTATCCAACCATTGCCTTGGCTGTGGCTGTTCCCCTGTCTCCTAAGCTCACTTCCCCATGCCATTACATTGAACTATGGATCATGCTTCTCTGTATCATTGGTGCAGGGCCTGACACTCCAGAATCTAGCCTGTGACCAAAAGGGAAAAGGGGATAGAATTCTGAAGTGTAATTATGTTTACTGTTATGCTGTAGGGATGGCATAGAATTTTTTTTTCCCACTATTGTGATAAGAGGTGAGAGACAGTGTGTTGCAGAGGTTAAGATACTGGATTAGGTCAAGGGAAATCCTGATCTAATTCTGCTTTCAGCCATGAAAGCTCATTGGAATAGTCACTCTCTTTCAGACCTCACAGAATTTTTGTGAAGAGAAACTGAAAGACATGGAGCTATGTACACCTCCGTGAACTGCTGGAGAAAAGGGATTATAAGTCTAAATAGGTAAATGTTGCAAAAGTCAATTAAAATCTTCTGCCCAAACTTGGTCTTCAAAAAAGGTATTCAAAACCATAGTTTGCTTGTGCTTTTATTCATAAAGAAAAATGTTCAGAGTTGGTTGTTTTTCTCTCTGTGTTTTCTATATTTTCTTACTACATTTCAAATAAACATATAAATTACATTTTTGTTTGTAGGCTTTGTTTTCTCTGGCTCAAGTTAAACTATGAGCTGGATAAGAAACAAGATGTTTTTCAAGGAAAGAAGGGATATGGAAAGATATAAGTGGTATTGGTGAAAACTAGTTTGTTTTCTGTTTTCATTTTTTTATCACATACCCTTAATTCTTCAGTTTCTTTTTACTAATTTTCCCTTTCTGAATTTTGCTTACTGTTGCTTATTCAGAAATAGTAGGATGTAATAAGTATATGGGTATGTATGTACATACATATGCAATGAGAAACATATTAGGTCTTTGCTAGCTAAGGATTCTGTACTAGTTCAAAGCATGTTCAGAGATTTTCAACATGAGCTGAGTTCAGCAGATGAGCCATAAGATGTATTCAGCCAATGAGCTCAGTGGAACCCAAATAATATTTCTTTTTGCAATGCAGACGAACTGAATGATTTGTTTACCTATTTCTGCCCTTGATTTGCCTATTTTCCCATTGGAGAAATATTCCTGCATTCTCCAAGTCTATCATGTTAGTCACCTAAAGAGCCAGGGACCACTATCTTTTCTCTCCATCCAGCAAGTTTTCATCATTCTGGCAGGCTTCCTCAAGTGAAACTGAAAAGAGTTATATTTTATCCTTCTTTTGGTCAGAGATCAAGGAGACAGGTAAAGCATCAGGCCAATTGGTGAGTTAATTTTTTTTTCTCTTTTTGTCAAACCGGTCAGTCCTAGAGAAGATCAACCCTGACTGCTCTTTAGAAGGCCAGATCCTGAAGTTGAAACTCAAGTACTTTGGCCACCTAATGAGAAGGAGGGACTCACTGGAGAAGAGCTTAATGCTGGGAAAGATTGAGGGCAATAGAAGGGGATGACAGAGAATGAGGTGGCTGGATGGAGTCACTGAAGCAGTAGGTGTGAGCTTAAATGGACTCCAGAAGATGGCAGAGGACAGGAAGGCCTGGAGAAACATTGTCCATGGGGTCATGATGGGTCGGACACGACTTCACAAGTAACAACAACAAATTGAGAAGATTTGTATTATTCTAGCATAGTGGTGTAGTTCTAGTTACTAGAGCCTAAAATGTGTACGGCATTTTGTTTTTAACATATTGATCCATCTGCCATCATTGAATCAAAAATTGAAAGTACTGTACTGTACTGAGAGCCTGATTGCAACACCAATGACACATCATGCTAACTTTCTAATTTTTAATAGGATCTATATTATGAATTATGGCTGAGTAATAAGGCAGCTTCATCCCATTAAAACATTCTGGTTCATTTGCAAATAATGTGCACAACTAGCAATTTACTTCATTTCTTCTTTGTGGGGAGTGGAGGGCATTGTTTTATTGTTTTGTTTAAGCAAAACACCAATTGCATTATGGGTTGTTGTTTTTTTTGCATGCTCCTTTTGGTTAGCTGAAAAAAGAGCACAAGCTGATGGGATTCCCAGGATTCAGAAAAGGGAGGAAAGGGAGGGCGGAAAAAGATTGGCAGCCCATTTCAAATTGCTTGGGGGGAATTTGAGTATAAAAAGTGTGCTACGTGGAAGTGCCCATATTGTCCTTTCCTTTTCTAAGTAGCGGTAGAGAAAGCGGCACTGGCAGGATGCAGAGAGAGGAGAGGGAGGAATGATCTCCTGTTTCTTTTTCTCTCTGAAATGCTGATGAGCTGTGCACTGCCTAGAGGACAAACATTGAGGGGATAGAGAGGTAGAGTGCTCTCACAGACAACAGGAACCTAGGAATGAAGAAAGGGGAAGAGAGCAATAACTTTGCTCCCCTGCTGCTATTGTGTGTCTTCACATACATTCTCTTGTTCTAATTATACCAGCAATTCTGTTAAGTAGGCTGCTGTCATTAGGTCTGTATTGCAGCTAAGGAATAAGGCTTGGGGAAGAGAAGGTTTTGCCTAAGGCTATCCAGCAGGGAAGAGATCTCTGTGTCAGATTTCAATCTTTTTGCCATGTATTAGCTCTTATGAGTTTTCTGAAAATCCACAGTCTGCTCTCTCTTAAATAAAAATGGTTTTAAAACTAATGGTGACAAGATAATGAAATACAATACAGATAACCAAAAGAAGAAGGAGGAGAAGGAGGACAAGGACAACCCTATTTTAAATCAATGAGCTGGCCACATCTAAAAATAATATGCTGCCAGACATTGATTAAGGTTTTCAAGTTGGGGTTACTCTGTAGGATGCAATAACTGATTCAATGGGACTATAAGAAATACCTGTAAATTAGTGAGGAGAGAGATTCCACCATCAACAGCTGCCCTACGGATTAGGTAATTATCTTGCACAAACTTGGTGTTGTTATTAGGAAGGTTAATTACCAAGTCTATGCTCCCATCCTTTATGAGCCTGAAAGGAAGCATAAATGAGATTAAGAGCTCAAATAAAGCTATCTCCAGAAAATCAAATACATTTTTTAGAATTCCATCAGTACAGCTCTTTGTACTCAGCTGGTAATTTTTTCAACTCTAAAGCTAGATCCAAAGGCATTAAAGCACCTTGAAACTGACTGCTTACAGTCCAGATCAAGATGTTCTAATTTAAAAGCAAACAGTGTGAGACATAAGCACAGCAGTGAGTTAAAGTAGAGACGTGTCAAACTCATTAAACCATTTTCAGCTCCATAAGAATTGTGCCTTAGCTGTAACCATTACAGACACAACAGCAGTTTAAATTAAACTAATCTAGGGTGATAGATCCATCAGAATGGCAGGAAAGGGAAAAAGTTGTGGCTTCTGCAGAGTTAACTGGATTCAGAGTTCCATACTCCTGAGAGTCTGGAACCCACCTAAGTTTACTAAGGAAGATAATAATTGGTAATAATATTTCAAAATGCTCAATAGTTATTGTTTGATACTAAAGGGGTGGGTGTGGGCAGGTCAGGTAATACAAATCCACTTATGTTGACCCCATTTCTCTGATGCAGAGTTCTAAAAAAAGTCAAAAGCTTACATGTCATTTTCTCTCACCGCTGGTTCTAATGAAAGTTTTGCACAATTGTGAACATTACCAGTTTGTTGGATCTCTTACTGTCTGACTGGAGGAAGTGTGGATTCTGAGTTCTCCTTCGAAGGCCAGGCAACTGGAGATGCAGGTATGCCATTACTACTGAGCCATGCTGAAGTTGCTGGTGTAGCATAAAGCTGCAGAAAGAGATTTATGTACATACATGGATGAGTGTGTATATGCTGTGTAATGATAAGAAAAAAAGGTTTCATATAACAATCAATGGTAGTGTAGGAGATTGAGCAACTAAAAATCAATGACAAGCTTCCTATTGAGTTTTAATGACAACAGCCTGAGTGGATATGAATCAGTTGCTGCCTTTTTAAAAAGAGTTATTGTAATATGGTTTGGAATGTCATAGACCCAAACCATTTAGCATAATTTCTCTCTCTTCCAGTTAGAAACTGGATGACAGGTTACAGCACAGATAAGGGAAAATAAACCAGAAAAAAATCCTTAGTATTAAGGTTCAGCAATGAATTCCTTTTTTACTGATTTAGTAACAAAATATTGCTTTATTACTTCTACTGTTGGAAATCTGACATTTGGGTAAGATAAAAGGATACCATCATTGAATTAGTATCACTTAGAACAGAGGCCTCCAACCTTTTGGGCACCAGGGACCAGTTCTGTGAAGAGAGGTTTTTCCACGGACCGGAGTGGGCATGGTTTCGCATGCTGCCTGCATCCCGTGGATGGGGCTTTGCTTGTTTGCATGGCCCAGTTTCTGGCATGCTGTGGATTGGTGCCAGTCCATGGACCAGGAGTGGGAACCCCTATTTTAGAAGACTGCTATTGTCCTAGTTTGAAATCTTTATACAGAAAGATAAATTCTCTCCTATCCAAATGACCTGAAACTTGTAAAACTGCCTACTGAGACCTTGCCACGTATGAAATGTAGAGAGTTCTTCATATTATGTGTATTTTGGCTACTCATGTGGTTTGATGCTAAAGCAATATGAAAAGTCAGCTATCTCACAAAAGGTTCAGTTACAAGTTTAACAAGTACACACTAGCAGAATAGTACAAATATGTAACCAGAAAGCATTTCTTGCTGTTGGGCAGAGTTCATTTGAAGATTTCATGAACAGTTTTTGTTTCAGGACCTGGCAGGATGTCAAGTGATAAAGGCTTTCTGTTTTCATGCTGTATCTTCTCTAACAGGCACCATCCAATAAGAGAGAAAGAATCTGGATACCTACAGCTGTTGTCAAGAAGTTTTAAATCACATAGACTTTTCAGGGGAGAGAATAAAGTAAAGAACAATTTGATGGCTCTGCCATTTGCCATGTTTCTTCTTGTACCAAGGGTAACATGGATAGATCTTTTCCACTCAGAAAGCTGATGTCTACAAAAAGAGGGAGATGCAATGGGGAATGACTATTGTATTTGTCCCCATTTCTCATCTGTGCTGTTTACATGCTTAAGCTGTGCAGCTTAAATGCCAAAAAATATTTGTGGATTTTGGTCACAACAATGTTTTGGTCACTGCAATCTAAAAAAGATGTTGAAACTCTAGAAAGAGTGCAGAGAAGAGCAATAAAGATGATCAGGGGACTGGAGGCTAAAACATACAAAGAACGGTTGCTGGAATTGGGTATGTCTAGTTTAATGAAGAGAAGGATGAGAGGTGACATGATAGTGATTCCAATATCTAAGGGTTTGCCACAAAGAAGAGGGAGTCAAGCTATTCTCAAAAGCACCTGTTAGAAGAATTAATCAGTGGAACAACTTGCCTCCCGAGGTTGTGGGTGCTTCAACACTGGAAGTTTCTAAGAAGAGATTGGACAACGATTTGCCTGAAATGGTATCAGGTTTCCTGCCTGAGCAGGGGGTTGGACTAGAAGATTCCTTCCAACTCTATTATTCTATTCTACTTTTTCTCACTTATGTCTCTGGCAACATAACAACCTTAGCTGTGATGGTGCTATTGTCTTAAGAGGATTACAGTGGCAGTTTAATGGCATGGCCAAGTTAAGCACTTCATTCACTGTCCATGCTATTGACAGTCTGGTGATCCCTGAGAGGAGGGTCAGCCTCAGTCTATTGGCCATTCAGGCTAGCATCATTTATTTCTTACCACCACCAAAGAAACACTAGGTTTTGAAAAAGCGGCATTCTCCCCAAGCAGGAGACCTCCAAAAAGACATGAATAGGCTTGCAGGGGTTTAGTAGAGATCCCTGGTTTGGAAAGAGTATGCAGGTAGAGCCACTTGTCGAAACTCGCCATCCCTCCCTCAGCCTGTCTCCTTGCATCACTATTGTGATTGTTGGATGAATTCCCACCAGCTGTTGACTTTCTGAAAGTGGTGGACTGCAAAGCTTAACAAGATAGGAAACAAACACAACCAACTTGTGAGCCCAAACAGGCAACAGATTCAGGGCAAGGATTGACAGTGAGGATATAAACTTTTATACCATTATATAGTTTTTCCCTAGGTGGATATCAGTTTCATTCAGAGGTGAGCAGAAAGCTCCTGTGATTCCATTTATAGGGTAAAAGGAATATAATCTAAAGATGAGGAATAGATAGTGTATTGTCCTTTATGTCTGTGGAATCAAGATCTATATGTCAGTACTTAACAAGTGGACTTTGAAGAGCCAAATCAGGATTTTGTGTTTTACAAAACAGCTTGCAAGTAACTTTGGCACATGTCGTTTCAGGCTTTGCCAGCTAGCACTATAATAGCTGATACAACAGACTCTTATTTAAAGGTGAAAAGGAAATATTGATTGGTGTCAGAAAAGGACTTAGCACCGGGCACCTCAGTGTTCACAGTGCTCTATTACTGCTTACAAAAATAAATGGCAGAAGGGCTAATTTTTCAATCTAGCCAATATAGTTTTTCTTGCTCTTAATAATAATGAAATCATGATATGTACATATTAGAAGACCTGAAGTTCCAGAAAATTGATAACATTTTCTATGCTTTCCCACCTTTCTTTAGTTACAGTTTGCATGTTTCTAAACACATGTGGAACATATGCCATAGAAGAAACATATTTAGCCCATGTGATATGTGCTCTGAGTGAGGAGGTTTGGATATCACCAAAATCATAATCAGAATAGAGCTGGAAGGGACCTTGCAGGTCTTCTAGTCCAGCCCCCTGCTCAAGCAGGAGCTCCTATACCATTTCAGACATGTGACTGTCCAGTCTCTTCTTAAAAAGCTGCAGTGATGAAGCACCCACAATGTCTGAAGGCAATCTGTTCCACTGGTTAATTGTCCTCGCCTTGCTTCTCTCCTTGATTAGTTTCCATCCATTGTTTCTTGTCCTGCCCTCTGGTACTTTGGAAAATGAATTGACCCCCTTCTCTTTGTGGCAGCTTCTCAAATACTGGAACACTGCTATCATGTCCTTCCTAGTCCTTCTTTTCTCTAGACTAGCCAAACCCAAATCCTGCAACCGTTCTTCATATATTTTAATCTCCAAGCCTTTAATCATTTTAGCTGCTCTTCTTTGTATTGTTTCCAAAGTCTCAGCATCTTTTTTTGTAATGCAGTGACCAAAACTGGATGCAGTATTCCAGGTGTGGTCTTATTAAGGCTTTATAAGGTGGTATTAATCAGGAAAGTCTAGTCAAACAAGATGTTTGAAGCTGCTTACAGAATAAATCCAAAATTTGTTCATTCTCATTTGCCCATGTACCTTACTGTTATCCAAAGTTTCCAGACTCTACTGTGTATTTCACCTATACTCATTGAGTTTTACATGAGGAGATGAGGGAGTAGAGCAATATCGTTCTGGATGAGCCCTTAGCTAAGACGTATAGCCATTCCTGAGCTCTCATACAACAAATAACCTACCTTAAAACCTTGATTATGCAGCTGCTCTACTTCATGAAGAAATTTTGGACGGAAGGAATGCTGAAAGGAAAACAAGAATCAGCTATCAAAGCAGAACATTTTTGTGCCACAGACAAACCAATGTTTGTGGTGAGGATCATTCACAATATACAGGAAATCTCTGCTTTTACCCCAGGTTATATAGTGAAGCTCTGTGTTAGTCTTAGACATCTGCCTCTTCTTAAAAGTGAATGTCATAGAAAGCTATACAATGTGTGAGTTTTATTGTAATTGGCAAGTTATTTTAGATTAATAAAGTACAAAAGTACTGTTTGTTCTGCAACTGAAGTCCATATCTCACCAATAAGCTGGGTCTCACAAAGTCTTAACATAACACTATGCCTTTCAGGGCCTTATAACTAGACAACAGAACATCGCTTGGTCAAATTGTTCAGGAAAGTTCATAATTCTGTATGCAGCCCAGCACCCATTGACCTCCGGAGCGTGAGGAAAGGAAGAAGACAAGGAAAAAAATGGGCAGAAGGGCAAGAACAGAGATTATATCATGTGAAAGCTCAAATTTAATTTGAAACCTTTAGCAGAAGCTAACAAAAGTCTCTCCTTTATAGTAACATCTAGAAACTTTTTTAAACAAATAAAAGTTAAGCGCCTAAAGTGGCTAAAAACGAGCTATATTTTAAACTGGAAGTGCCAAATGAAGCAAGCTGTATTACAGGAATATGCAGGTTAGTAACAAAACAATTTTTTTTACTGTTTCTGCTAGGAGGACAGTCTGCCCCTTTTTAGCGCAGAAATGTTCATAACCATGTACCATTGTGATGTCTTATCACATGAGACAGCCTCTGTACATCTTGCCCTACTTTATGTACCTATTAACTCCAATTTCCCCAAGAGGCCACTTCTGTTAACTATTGTTATTTGCACTACCTGGTGAAGGGAACAGAAGTAAACTGGTATGAAAAATGGCTGGTGGGAAAATGAGAATGCAGTGGTGCAAATATAAAGGGTAGCAGGTTAGGGTTGGAGCTAGAAGGCACCTAGGAGCTCCTCTGTAATAATGATGGCTGTCTACTTAAGTAGTCTCACAAATACAAAGTTGTCATTTGTTATTGTTGTCATTATCCTCATCATCCAGATTATTTTTTTATTAAGTGAATTAATTCTGCTGTTTAGCAAGAGCTTTCTACTATCATTCAGGGCTTCATAGCCATCAGGTCAAAGGCAACAGATGCTGACTTTCAAATTAAAAGCATTTCACTGCTGTCTGAGTTTTAACAAAGAGTCAGGATTTCAGAAAACTATTTATTCTGCTAGTTAGATTTCTGGATTTGCTTTTCTTGGTACAGGTTTGCACTTAGAAACGCTAAAAAATATAGCAAGAATTTGTAAAGGAAAATGAGCCAATTGTCAACGGTCATTTCTTGAGAAGACGTTTCTGCTCTCTAAGAGGAAAATATGAATATCTAACTAGACAGAGTTGGCAGCTTCTCAACTTTGGAATCACTCTGCCTTCTGGTCTGGACTTTCATAATAGAACGATAAACTTTTATCAAACATTATTGAAAGCTTATAAAACACATTCTCCTCAAAAGAGAGAGGGAGGGAGGGAGGGAGGGAGGGAGGGAAGGAGAGAGAGAGAGAGAGAGAGAGAGAGAGAGAGAGAGAGAGAGAGAGAGAGAGAGAGATATTACAGCAGTCATCAAAACTGTCCTAGATGTCAAGACTGATTGAAAGTATCTGAAGTAGAAACCACTCACTACTAAAAAGTGAGTTTATTAACTTGGCTTAGAACTGCAAGCTACTGGGGTTCTATTTTAAAATGAACATTCTCATTTCCTTCAACTTCCTTTTCATACAGTGTATAATTATCCTATGAATAGAGACTCCTCAACTGATTTTGGTTTTTATGGCACTATGCCAGTTCAGTTAGTACTAAAAGCAGTATAAGCTTTTCCTACTGCACTTGTTAAGAGAATTTTAGCTGTAAGTTGAATATGGAATCAAGCAGTTTGAACAGAAATCAAAACATTTCCCACACTCAAAATAAAATCTGCAAAGATTAATCAACAAACCCATCTTTGTGCACTTCCAATTATATTTTGTCCTGAAATCATTTAGATTTTTTTTCTCAACGATTGAAGAGTCTAGTTAATGGAGTGATTCATGGTTGCATCTCCTTCAGCCTCATGTTTCTTTTTCTAAAACCAGCTGCAAAAACTGCAGCTTTTAACGGAGGCCTGTTCAGGTGGCCTAACCTAACCCTTTCCTCCCACATCACAAATTCAGTCTCTTTACAAGTTAGAGATGTCTTTTTAAAACAACTTATTTGGAACCCTATCCCTGTGTCTCTTCTCAATATGCCTCAGAATTTAGTGTTGTTGTTTTTTTAATTCTGATGCATGCATTATAAAATCTATTCAGAGCACGTCCCTGCATTGTACTGTACTCAGAAGCAGCAAGCTCATATTTAGTTCCTGCAGCAATATATCACACCTAGTTTACCTAACAAAGAATATAACTAACAACAACCAGACATTTGACCATATACTGTCCGGCATTGGGCAGAAGATTTTACTAGATAATCTTAAAAGTCCCTTCCAGCCTTTACATTTTATATGTGTCAAGTAATTAAGGAACAGTCTCTAATTAGTCAAGGTTTACAGATAAAGCATTTCCTGCATGTTGTAAGCATGTTATAGTTAGCATTACTGTACCACAGGGATAATACTGCTGCATGTCTTCCATAAACCTTACTAAATAGTCTATTTAGGAAAGATAATAAAAGAACTAGTCAACTAAGTATGTGTTTTTATTTAATGTCAGGTTTTCTTCCACCTTCCTTTATCTAAACCAGGATTCCCCAAAGTAGTCAATATGGACCTCCAAGGATCAATGGGATTATCCAAGGGGTTGTTATCATTGTTATTTATAGTACTGTTAGTTAAAGTAACATTTATTAAATTATTTTCATATAATAAATGTTTGGAAGGTCAATGAACAATCTAAAACTTCATAAAGGATGAGGGTGAAGGTTCGTTTTCGAAGCTTCAAAAACTTCATAAAGGGGTTGATGAGCTGAAGAGTTGAGGATCCCACAATGGTTAGAATGCAATATTGCAGACAGACTTAGACTTGGCCCACAGCCTGGAGTTCGATCTTGATACAGCTCAAGGTTGAGTTAGCCTTCCATTCTTCCAAGGTCAGTAAAATGAGGACCCAGATTGTTGGGGGCAATAGGCTGACATTGTAAATTGCCCAGAGAGTACTGTAAAGCACTATGGGATGGTATATAAATCTAAGTGCTATTGCTATTGGAACCTTAATAGAAATATCTTCTCAATTCAATTAAACTGAGTCAAATTGCTTGCCCTTTTGGCTAATAATGCTTACAACAAGCTAGGGCAGAGCATTAATGTATGTTTGCTGTAAAATACATACTTTAATATATTCTCTTCCCTCCCATGCACTATCACAGGAGGGAAGAGAGTATATTATATCTTAATATCATACCTAATGCAGTAAAACAAAATCTGTCTCTATTTCTGCTCCTGGCAAATCTCAGGCTTACCTTGCTCTTGTGTAAAGATCCCAAGGGGACCTCCTTGGCCTGGCCTATATTCCTAATTATTTTGCTTTTAGATATATTCAAAAAAGATTTGAGGGGAAACCAAATATTCCTCACCATAAGACAGTCAAGTGGAAAGGATATTCCATTGTTCACTGTAATGAAAGTAATCACAGTAATGGCTAATGGTATTACAAAACCAACCCATCCAACCTGCATCTATCATTCCTGCTTCATTCGTTCCCATTGGTTACCCACCAGCCACAAAAATCTTATTATCATTATCATCATCGTCGTCGTCGTTATTGTCATTGTCATTGTCATCGTCATCATCATCATCATTCCTATTATTTATTTATTTAGATTTATTAACTGCCCAATTCTAATGGATTTTGCCCAGTCTGTTTGCGGGCTATTAAACTTCAGCAATCAGAATTCTTTGGTTCAGTTTATATTCATTATTAGCAGAATTCTGTCTGAAAAGTTATTCAGTCTACCATTAGTTTTACTGACCTGTTCATTTCTATTCTAAAATATGCTTGAGTGTCTGCTTTTTTAAGAAAAATCAAATTTCATCTGCCTTAAAATTGGATTCACTTTTATTTTCCTGAGGCATCTTGAGCACAAGCAGTTAAATGAAAAAAAAAACTAAAAAAGCAAGTTAATAATGTAGTTGATTTCACACTCTGACACTTATTTCTACTTCCCATGACCTTAAGACATTTCTAGACAGACCTATACTTTCATCATGCAGAGTGGATGCAGTGCTCATTAATCATCACTAGGGGATTAGCCAAAAGGGCAAGCAATTTGACTGGTCATCCTCTATCAACAGGTCAAGCATAGCACCTTCATAATGACTGATAGACCACTATTATTTGGGCAGGCAGCATCTGCTCTGTGGAGCAGACTGGAATACTGGCAGAACTCAACAGCTGGAGCAACAGAGCTTATAGTGATAAGAATTGCTTCTAGCCCATTTGTAAAATATTGAATGACCCCAAAGTGAACAGCAGGGACTCACATAATGAACTATTTTGCTTGAGAGAAATATCCAATTGTATCAAGGTTGGGTGAATATAATTCATTTAAAGGATGAATTAATTGCCAAACAGACTTCCTGAGCTTATTCTCTCAGGGATGGGAATGACTTTTAAACCTGTTTAAAGTTATAAGATAGCATGCATAGGCATTTTTATTAGTGATTGGCTGGTTGAACCCAGTTTTTTATGCTCCCAGTCACCTGGTTTCTCAGAGAAGTAAATAAATGGAGAGGATTTACTTATTGCACTAGAACTGTTATCTTACAGACCCATTTGAGAACGTATTTGACCCCTATTGTTTGCTTGTTTTTGCTCTTCTCTCAGGTCAGCTTCCAGTTGCTAAAAGTTGGAGGCCTAATTCTCATACCCTTTCTTGCTGTCTGCAATAATCATTCAAGACTGGGAAGTCAGTATTATTTTTAATTATTTTCTTATTGACTTTATGCAGGGTATAAGCTTATTACGAGCACAGCAGGAGGATTGTAAAAGGCCATCAATTGTTTTTATGAGACCCCTAGCATTTTCCAATCTCAGATCCAGTGACTGATCATTTGGGAAACAGACGCAGAGGCCTTGAGGAGATTTATTAATGTATCACCCTTCTTCTGTATCTTCTGCAGCTTGTAATTACCCTGAGGCAGTGAAGAAGCATTGCAGGAAGAGAGGGGTGGGCAGACTTGTAAAATGGGGGGGGGG